TAGGAATCAGTCTATTAATCGTTGGTGGAAACGGGTAACATTATTGCATTTGATAGGCTTGTATAGTTGTGCTATAAAAAGTATTGAAATAAGTATTTGAATAATAATTTATAATGTAGGATAACATGGGGCTGGATGTGGCCTGTTAGTTCACATCCCACTGCCACAAAAGTGAGATCTACATTTAGGAGTTGTGGGTATGTTATAAGAGTGACTGTCAAGTCCCACTATTTGGTGGTAGGTGCTGTTGACTAGCTGCCTAGCCTTTAGTCTCTCAGTTGAAAATTAGGGACAGTACAGTTATGTGTGGATAGCCCGTGTATATCTTTGCACAAAATTCTAAAAGAAACAACAAAAAAAAACGAGAAAAACCAAGGTTTAGATGGAGCTTTGGAAATATGTCTGTATCTTAAGCTAAAATGTGACCACATCGTATTTGTGTTAACCCTTAAATGTATGAAATAATTTACTTATGTTAATGCATAATGTGGGTCACAAGTGACCCTCCAAAGTAAAAAAAGGATTCAGACCATGTTTATGTGTAAATTTCTTTTATTAAATCTAACAACAAAAGCAGGATGATCACAATACGAGATCAGAAACAGAAACATCCCGAAACACTGTACTGTTAGGAAACGTACATTGGGGATGATAGCTGTAAATTGCAGGTATCACAAACAGTTGTTTTCTTTGTGTATGAGTGTGTAAAACAGATATGTATTATACATTTTGCACTTGATATTTTCCTGTCTTTTGAGATAGGGCTCGTTGGACATATTTTTCATTTGGAATCAGTAATAGTGTTCTTTGATGTGTACTCATAGTGTTCTTCATGAGATTTGTTTTTTCTGCCACACCTTTTCAGATAAAATTATAACAAATCTTGTCATACACATGACCTGGGTTGTTAGTGAGTGACTCATGTCATTTCTTTCAAAATTACTTTACAAAAAAGTTTGTGTTTTGGCCAAATTAATGTGATGTATTCACCAAGAACATTTGGTTATATACCTCCTATGTAATGTGAAGACCTGAATAGTGGTCACTTCCCCTATCCAGTGTGTAGGTTTTTCTCATAGTGACTATAAAGCATGTTCACACCAACAGTATGTTTGAATACAATGTTAATTTATTATTCAATTAAGGAATTGAAAAATATTGGCCAAAAAAATAATTTCCATAATAAATTTTAAACCAGTAATGTGGGTACATGGATCATTTTAAACCAATGATGTGGATACATGGATAATTTTAAACTAATAATGTGGGTACATGGATAATTTTAAACCAATAATGTGGATACATGGATCATTTTAAACCAATAATGTGGGTACACGGATCATTTTAAACCAATAATGTGAGTCCATGGATCATTTTAAACCAATAATGTGGGTACATGAATCATTTTAAACTAATAATGTGGGTACATGGATCATTTTAAATCCAATGATGTGGGTACATGGATCATTTTAAATCAATAATGTGGGTACATGGATCATTTTAAACCAATAATGTGGGTACATGGATCATTTTAAACCAATAATGTGGGTA